CTGGGAGTTGAAGTCCACCCATCTTAAAGTTCCCAAGGTTGAGAAACATGCTATATAACAGAATCTTGCAAATCTGCCTGTATTTCTCCTTCCTGCCCTCTTATGCCCCAGGAAGTCTAAAGGGAGCCAGTCTTTCTAATACCTTCCTGCTCCTGGGCTGACCTGCTTTTTCTGCACCTGTGGCCTTCTCCAAGGTCATTTCTATGGCTCTCTGCATCCAGGGAGCACGCAGGGCCCAGAGTGGGCTTAAACCTGGGACTCCCTGCTCCTCCAATACCTTAAGACAGGGATGTTAAGACAGGAAGGTTATGATGAGGATAAAGCAAGTCAAGCTACAGGAGGCAAGACCACCACTGGGATCATGTATTCAGGCAGCGGGTGGTCCCATCTCCTCGCATGCAGCGCTCCAGGGTGCCCTGCTTATTCCATAGTGCTTGGCTTCAGCACAGCAGGGCTGTTGCCCCTTCACCCTTCTCACTCCCCTTGACAAAGGCTCAATAACACCCCTGCCTGAATCATTATACCAACCTGGATGTCAGTTTGTTGCATCTCAAGAGTCCGTGAGTGCCCAGCCTGAATTCTCTGCTGCAGTCCAGACTGTTCAAATCTGTTTGAACTCAGATGCTCTAACTGTAACAGAATCAGAGAGGTAACCACCGTAGCCTGAAGATGTAGGCCAAGTACTTTTGGCATGCTGACCGAGGATCTGCTCTGTGGATCCTGGAGCAACACCACTTATGCAATCTTCTGGGCTGTTCAGGTGGACAGTGATGTCTCCATCACAAAGAAGGGAGGAGTCCCGACTGTTTTAAAAGAGGTGCTGATGGAACCATGTCTGAAAAAGAGTAATTTAGATCTAATGACTTTGGAAAAATATCCGCCAGTCTCCAAATCCTAAAGAAGGTGCTACAGAAGGCAAAGGTCTATTGACTTCAAGCCCTTTGGGAATATACCAATTCTGGCCTGGCTTTGGGATGGAAATCGCCTTGGTTGATAACTGATCCTGGCGAGTGGATGGGTGGAGTGAAACCCTCTTGGTTCTCCCAGACCTTTCAGTGGCCTTTGATGCCAGCAACCACAGTATCCTTCTGCCCTCCTAGGAGCAGCATGGCGCTATAGTGGTTTCAGTCCTTCCTGAAAGATTAATCTCTGAAGCTGGTGCTGGGTAGAAGATAAAAAGTCAAGTCTCCTTCCAACTGAACTCAGTTTCCCGTAACTAAATGGACACTTTCATACAGTTCTCTTGGCAATGGCACACACCTTGTTTGCCACTAGCCCCTTGTGGATTTTTCCCCTCCTTTTTCTACAGCCCTGGGATTTCCTAGTAGGCTCCCATCCAAAACCTCAGCGTCTGAGCCAGCCAAAAAAAAAAAAAGAAGACAGAATAGGAAGCTGTATTTTGTGTTGGGGAAAGTGCCTCTCCCTCCATGCAGTGCAGGTATACAGATATGGAAATGCTGGGAAAGCGTATAGCTTATGGAACTGACACAACACCACATTTTGTAAAGAATTATCTCCAGTGCACTAAACCTACTGATTGACATAGCACGTTATTATCTGTAGGCAAACATACTTGGATTCAATGCTCGTATTTGGTACTTCGAAAATCTCCCATACTATTCTTTAAACAAGCAAACACCTAGAATGTCTGGATTTAAGAGTATAAGTCTGAATTTTACTTATTTCCAAGTAAACAAGCACAAAACTGTGCTAGAGTCTTTTTCCTCTTTGCAAATGACATTTTAGGACAACAAAAACAATGCTTTAAACTTGCAAAAAGCATCACCGTGTTTTGGAGGGTTTCTGAAGAAGTCTATGGATATTTTAAAAAATGATGCTGTTACACTGGAGTTTCTGTATTCGTAAACTGGGGCAAAGATAAAACTGAATGGGAAGACAAGTAAAATTTATAAGATCCCAATGGCTATGTTGGCAGGACCTATTTACCATGACTGAAAGAAACATATTTTAAATTTTTTGAGTTTGCCCAGAACACAGAACCCGAAGCTGGATCACAAAACCCACAGGCTAGATCTGGACCATATGCTGGGCTAAACTGTGATTGACGAACTGCTGGGTCAGTGCAGTGTATGAGCGCAGCCACAAAAGTGGTTATCTTGTTTACCCTGCATGAAAATTGGGGGGGGGGACGCCACAGGGGGGATATTGTGCAAAGATATTGTGCACTGACTTTATAGACCTAATTGGTTTGGTTACATGCAGCACTTGCTTAACCATGGATGCTTGAATAAGTCACAACTGCATCACACTAAGCCAAAACCAAATAGACAATGATGGCTTAGCACCATGGGTGAATCAAGTCATTATTCTGAAGAGCTGATGAAGAATATTCGTTTATTTATTGGATTTATACAGCTACCCATCTCACATAAAAGTGACTCTGGGCGACGTATAACGATTACAAAGAATAAATACATAAAAAACAATTACAAGTAAAAATAACTATAAAAGCACACAAAACAGGAGGAGATAACATTAATAAGGGAGTCATTGCAAAATCTCCCCGGTCCCCTGGGGCCCCCAGGCCTGACCACATAGCCAGGCCCAAAGGGACTGGGGAGATTTTGCAATGGCTCCTTTACTAATATTATCCCCTCCTGTTTTGTGTGTTTTTATAGTTACTTTTACTTGTAATTGTCTTTTTATGTATAGTGATGAAGCTGCAAGAAAACCTTGGTTCAGATGCCCCCAGAGCTTGAGCTGGTGAGGTGGCCCCGAGCAAACGTTCAGCAAGCAAACAGCTGTTTCTCTCACAGAGGGCATGGATGTAGCCAGTGGTAATAATAAATGCTACTTCAAGTTTAGCTCGACTCCTGGGGACTTCTTGGAAAGCATCCATGTGGTTTCCTTAGCAACAGTGCAGATGAAATTTCCTCTTCTGGAATGATTTCTGACTTCCTTTAATAGTTGGATCTCCTGGTGGTCTCCCATCCACGTTGACCCAGCTTGCTGCTTCAAAATCAGTCAAGGTGAGCTAGATATTGAATAGAAGAAAAAAAAATACTGATCGCAGCATTCCCGCCGGGGACGCCCTCCAGGCGTTGCGGACTACAACTCCCATCACTCCAAGCTGGGAACAGCAAAGACATCACTCCGTGAGCTCGGAGACCCCTTGACGCTTGGTCCCCAGCTGCCTCCTGCTCAGCCTGGCCTAGCACGGCGCCTCGGACTACAAACTCCGCCACCTAGCCTGGCTGAGGAACAATGGGACTTGTAGTCCCAACGGTGGGCGGGTAGGAAGCGCTTTCGAGCCAAACAGGCTGAAGTGGCGGGGAGGGCTTCACCCTAGCAACAAGCGGCGAGGGGCGAGGAGGCGGTTACCGAGGCAACGCGAAGCCCTCGCGAGAACTTGTAGTCCCTCAGCCCCGCGCGCTTTTTTTTTTTCCCCTGCGTGCGCGCGCGCGAGCTGCCCAATCAATGGTGCAGGGAGGAAGCGGCCACGTGACAGAGCGCGCGGGGACTGCGAACCGGCACTTTGGAAGAGGTGCGTGAGGGGCGCCGGCGGAGGCCGTTCTCCTGCGCGGCCTGGGCCCTTTCCCTGCCCCGGAGTAGAGCCTCCACGGCGGCACCCGTTGACCCAACACACCCGGGTCGCGTTATGCCGGAGAGGGGAACCCGCCGAGGGCCCTCGG